AAGTAATTTACAGATTGCAGATTTCATGATTCACAAAGTTCAATCATATATCAAAGTTACAAGAAAAACCAACAAGGCAAATATTTGAGAAGATGAACAAATTACAGATCTAACTAGCTAAGACATCGATCACTCATACAAAAGTCTAATTTAACCTTGAGATACTGTATCATCCCCTGCAATTGGAGACACTGAGATGGGGCACCCACTTCTTAGCCTTGGAAACAATGCCCATTTCTCTAAGCTTGAGTCAGGGTCTGTCACTTTCCATCTGATCAAAATAAATAAATTAAATAAATCTGTGCAAAAATATATTGACAATAATTAAAATTTACAAGTTATATATACCATAACGTACCGATAAGTCGTAACAAGGCGATGGAGAAATATTAGCATCATGGCCTTGGCTAAGTTCATCCCCAAGCAAGTTCTTCCTCCTACTCCAAAGGCCAAGAAGCTATATGGTTTGGATTCTTCCTGATCGAGAAAAAACATCTGTGTTACTTTTTCAGGGAATTTTTTGCGTTATTTTTTAAGACAAATTTCATTTGAATGACTTACATTGAATCTTGATGGGTTGAAATGTAGTGGTTCATCATATATAGTTTGATCAAAGTGCATAGCTCTTGCATCGATATTCACTATCCAACCTTTTTCGATATGAAATCCTGTAATAGAGCAAATTGAGATTATTAACTAAATTGTATAGAGATTATAACACTGACAGGTCTTCTGAAAGAAGGATATGAGCAAAATAATACTCGTGGGTGTAGCTTGATATTCTAACCCTGTAATTGTGAAGTTTTGTGATTTTAATGTCATATTCTTTTCTATATCTAATAAATCTTCTATTCATCTCATAAATTGTGAATCCAGCTATGTATGATATACAGTGTACCTTTTAGCTATATACGATATACGACGTACCTTCAGCTTGACAGTCCTTCAGTGCTACTCTTGGAAACCAGGACACAATTGTTGCCATTCTTAATGATTCCTTCACAATCTACATTCATACAATTCATGATATGGCAACCGCATAAGTTTTTTTAATTTTATCAAAAAGCCTCCTTAAAATAGTTGTAAATTGATCAAAGAACATTTCATAACAACTTCACAAGGAACAATACACTGATGTATAAGAAGACTATACCTTTGAAGCATAAGACATCTCATTTAGATCTTCAAGCCCAAATTTTGAACCATTTCTGCTAGTTGGTAGTTGCAATTGTAATGCCTGAATTAAGATCATATACATGGAGAATATGATAAACAATGAAATGAAAAAACTGGAGAAAAAATTCAAGAGAGAGTTCATTTGCCGATATTTATAACTTACTCTAAGTCTCTCTTGAATATCTTGGTTTTCATCCAAATACTTAACCATCCAAGCTATTGCGCTCGCTGTAGTAATTTGGCCTAAAATTGAAAATTTTCATTTGTGGATGCAAACTGAAACTTATCTTCACTTAAAATTACAATCAGGTTTATGAGTAAGTACCTGTCAAGTTAAGATTTTGACCACTAAAAGTTTGTAGTGTTGAAGTGTAAGATTTAGAAGTTATGGAGAATACTACGAGGGAAATACCTGCAATTATAAGTGTCAGAATATTATCCAAAATTTGTGAATCTGCCGATGGATCATTAGCCATTGATTTATCTCTAACAAATGATTGTAGGAAGTCTTCATGACATTCCAAGCCCTTTCTCCTAAAATTTAACATCTTCTTGAGAGCATTCATGATTCTTCTTCTGGCCTGTTCACCAATTTCATTTTTTTAACAAAAGGGTGGTTCTTAAATCTTTATTTAAATCATTTTTAAGATAGTAAATGCAAATTTATAATTACCTTCAAGCCTCTGTAGAATCTAGTCCCTGGGAACTTCAAAGGAAAGGCTAGCATTGCTTCTGTAACTTCGAAAACATCTTTTTGTAGCATTTCAACTTCATGTTCTTCCTCTAAACTTATTAGCATCTTGCATATTGCTCTGAATGTTATCTAAGAAAATAAAAATATGCACAAATTGAAATCCTGTTCACAAATTAAGCAAATATGCTCTGAATGTTATCTAAGAAAATAAAAATATGCACAAATTGAAATCCTGTTCACAAATTAAGCAAATATAATATGGAAAATATGGGTACATTTAAAAATATGCACAAATTGAAATCCTGTTCACAAATTAAGCAAATATAATATGGAAAATATGGGTACATTCATTGCAGAATATTCCCTTTCGATAAAATAATCATCTACAAGTTTATATAGACTTAGAGGTAAGTCTCATGTTTTCTTAATATAGTTTTTTTAAAACATCCAAATTAACTTCGAAAATTTGAAACCTTAGGGCGAGTTTCTGTAATTTGTGCTTAAAAAATAGACCTTTAAAGCATCATTGAGCACGGATACACTTTCTTTTTCCTTCCAACTTGCGAAAGTTTTAACTGTCAACTCATCAAATATTCTGATCGTAGAAATCATCGAATCAAGTGTAAAAAGATTTGATATTCGACGCCGAATCAGCCTGTGATGTTCATGAGATGCACAAAGCAAGCTTTGACCACCCAAAAGCTCAGCTATTGATCTCATATACCTCTTTGAGAAATCAAACGACTCATTGCCGAGGATTGCTTTAGCTGATTCTATAGAGGATACAAACACATGGGTTTCACCAAAAATGTTGGTTTTGAAACAATTTCCATACCTGCACATATTACATAAAGATATACTCTTGACAGTAATTCAAAATGTTGTTAGTTCAGTTAAAACTGTTGCCTATCAGGCAACTGAAATATACGTATAGACATGGAAGTTTTCTTGAAGATATATTTGAGCTTTTACTTGTACATATTACATAAAGTTATAGAGTTAGCAAGTGAAGTCTGACAGTAATTCAAAATGATATTGGACGGTTACTTCAGTTAAAAGTTTTACCTTTACTTATTACGTGAAGTTATAGAGCTAGCTAGTGAACTCTGACAGCAAGTTAAAATAGTACTAAATTCAGTCAAAAGTTTTGCCCGTCACAACTGAATCCGAAAAATATTTGAAGTTCTCATGATCAGATTAAGTTCTTGAGAGCTAATTAGACTTAAAAGCTGACTATCAATATATAAAGTGATTCTACCAAGTTTTCAAATCTAATATAAAAGAAAGTACAGGTTGCGACGCTTCTGAACAAAATCATAAAATCCTTTGCTGCTATTATTCGCCATAACAAACGCCAACGTCTCCCCAATAAAAGGAAGACCGCAGCTCCCTGGAGGAGCACCGAGAATCTCCTTCTTCTTCCTTTCTCTAGCCTTGATCGCAATTTTCGACACGAAATATGTTACAAGAATCAGAGCTAAGAGTTGGAGAAGTAGAACAAGAGGATACATAAGTGAGTTCATGATCATTTTACTACTTGAACGAAGTCTACTACTATGGCTCTTAGCTTATATGGATTCAAAAGGGGGAGGGGTGGTTGTTTGCGTATGTTGTTGATGTGAGAGCACTTTTCGTGTCTCCTATATCTCATCTTGCTCCACTTTGGCCACTATGTAGCTCAGTGGAAGTCTGCACTCTGTCAAAAAGGTTTCTGAGATGTTTGATCATCTCTCTCTCTCTCTCTCTCTCTCTCTCTCTCTCTCTCTCTCTCTCTCTCTCTCTCTGTATATATTATATATAGTATATATATATATTATATATATATATATATATATATATATATATATATATATATTTTACGTGACAAATAATGGAGACTTTAGTCTAATTATGACCTTTTTTGACCAAATTACCAAGCACCTGAACGACAAAACATATGTCACTACTTTGTTTCACTTGAGAAAATTGTGGCATATATATATATATATATATATAATTATATATATATAATATATATATATATATGTATCCCCTTTTGTGTCCTCTTGTGGCTCGCCATCTACATAGCAAGAATCCAAGCACTATATCTATTGTGCTAGGATACGTATCTACATATGGCATAGCTTCCTAGCTTAGCATTTTATACATGTACGTAGAAGCATGCAGTCGTTAGTCTTCGCATAGATTAGGATGTTTTCGCTTGCACATGAAGAAGTATATGGTGGTCGTGGAGTACCTTCGAGAGGTCCAACATGACAACATCCACACAACAAAACCTGCAGGATAGCCTGATCAGGTGACTGTTGCGCCACACGGTCAGAGTGGGCTAGGCCCTGAGCTTCAGTGTGGCTTGACCTTTGCCGATATATTTTAATTACCGTATATAGGATTAACTACTTATAGACATCATGTACTATCATATGTTTATGCACTTATTACTCTTTATGTAAGCTTGATATTATAATAGCTCCCCCCCCCCCCTCTCCGAGCTAAGTTGAACATTGTCGTCTGCCCTCCACTACACTCCTGTATGTTGCGCGATGCGCGGTCCCTGATGAGGTATTGTGGCGGAGATGGAGTGGACAGTTACAGAGGAGGGCTAGAATGCGATAATATAGGGGTTTATCTGCCACAAATTTCCAATGACACCGGGGGGTCACTTTTGTCAATATGAAACGTAATAATAAATCCACAATTGCATACTTGTAATGTGTACAATGAGGTGGGTCAATAAGGGGTCTATATGTCAATAACTTGTAATTTGTATAATGACGAGGACATGCATTTCACAAACGAGTAAACGCAATTTTTTTAATAAATTTGTTTTCGTTAGATAGTTACAGAAAGAATAAGGTTTTTTTCGGCTATAAGCCCCTCAAATCTTTCATGCTCTAAATTAGTCCCTCAAGAACTGAAATTATTATTATATCAGCTAATTATAGAGTTATTTAAAATTAAACCCTCCATACAACAGTGGAAGGGATTAATTCAAAACAATTTATGAGAACTGGGGATCTAATAGCAATTTCAAAGTAACATAAGAACCGAGAGAATTAATAGCAATTTCAATCATTTTTGGGACTCATTTCAAAATATGGAAGTCTTTGTTAGGATCCATTTAGTCCTATATCGGTTATATGGGTGATTTTATGTGGTTTTATAAGGGGTTTGGGTTCCTTCCCTCTACGAGCTAGCTTTTAGGGGTGAGTTCTCCTGGGTCCTTTACATGTTGTATAAGAGTCAACCCCACCTTTTGGTTGCAATCGAGCGGCACAACTGTGCTAAAAGACTAATATCTGAGAACAAATCTATTGTAAATATGTATTTGTTTTCTTAGTCTCAGGTCTTGAAGAAATTGCAGAAACTCAGAAGAATCAGGCAAACCAGGCGGCGGTCGACCGGTCCGGTCGACCGCATTCGTGCACAAGGCTTCCTGTGCGTCTGGAAGGAGATCGGTCGACCGGTGCGGTCGACCGACGGTTCTCTGGAGTTTGGGTTTTCTACTGAGAGCTGGTCGGTCGACCGGGCCGGTCGCAGGCGGCGGTCGACCGGTCCGGTCGACCGCATTCGTGCACAAAGCTTACTGTGCGTCAGGAAGGTGGTCGGTCGACCGGTGCGGTCGACCGAGGGGTTCTCTGGAGTTTGGGTTTTCTACTGAGAGCTGGTCGGTCGACCGGGCCGGTCGACCGGAATTGATCGCGGTCGACCGGTCCGGTCGACCGACGCTGTTTTGGGCTGGGCTTTCAGGTTTTCGACCCGATTCGTTTTGTAAGTTCTATATATACCTAAACCTGTTTGTTTAGGGTAGAGGTTGGACGAATTTGAGCAGCCAAAGAGAGAGAATCATTGCATCCAATTGTGAGAGAGCTTTGAGAGATCTAGAGCTTTGTTTTAGGGTTTGGTCTGAGAGATTTGTAACCCTATTTGTATTCTCTTGATTTCTAGTAGAAAGAACTCCCCCCTCCTTGCCCCGTGGACGTAGGCAACTTGCCGAACCACGTAAATTGTGTGTTCTTGCTGTGATTGTGGTTTGCATATTGTTTGTGGTTTAGTTCGAGTTATTGTTCGTGTTGCCCTAGAAAGCTTCCGCCGCGCACAACAATTGGTATCAGAGCTAGATCGACAACATGGGAGATGCAAGCACGTCAGGTTCGTCTCTAACAAAGGCGATACAGAGTCTGAGCATCAATAACACGAAGATTGATGTTCCGAAGTTCGATGGCAAGATCAATTTTGGATTGTGGAGGTGTCAGGTGATGGATGCTTTGGATGCACAGAATTTGGAGGAGACTCTTGAGTTAAAAGAGAAACCCGCTGAGTTGGAGGATAAGGTTTGGAGAAAGATGAACAGTAGAGCTTGTGGTGTTATTAGGTCATGCTTGACGCCGGATCTTATTTATGATGTTATGAACGAGACGTCGGCGAAGAAGATGTGGGAAACACTCAATGAGAAATATCTTACGAAGAGCATTGAGAATCGGCTTCACTTGAAGAAGAGATTTTACCAGTTCAAGATGAAGAGAGGGGTTTCCATCAGGGAGCATGTCAACAATTTCACTAAGCTACTTTCAGATATGGCCAATGTTGATATTATAGTTGAGGATGAAGACAAGGCGATGCTACTTCTGTGTTCGTTGCCCGAAGATGATTATGGTACGTTCGTTCTCACTATGATCAATGGAAGAACTACAGTTAGCTACAAGGAGGTGACCTCAGCTTTGGTGAACTATGAGTTGAGGAAGAGTGATGGTGAACCCTCCGAGAAGGCATCGGGAGATGCGTTAGCAGTTCGAGGCCGAGATCCAAACCGTCGTCAGTTTAACCGCTCAAAGTCAAAGAATAGGAGTGCCTATAAGAGTGTTGGTAGAAATCAATGTCGGTATTGTAAAGAAGAAGGACATTGGAAGATTGACTGCCCAAAGTGGAAAGAAAAAGCCGGAAAGAATAAGGGGAAAGCTGCACAAGCTTCAGAAGTGAATGTTGCAAAAGCTATTGGTGAGCATTCAGATTCAGATTCTTCAGGCTATTCATGCCCTGCTTTACCGTCGGTTTGCTATGCGGATTCCACGGAGTGGATGATGGATTCGGGAGCTACATATCACATCTGCCCTAAGAGGGAGTGGTTTTCTAGCTTTGAGGAGCTGGAAAGAGGGGATGTCGTGCTTATGGGTAATGATCACGTATGCCCTATTGGTGGTATTGGTTCAGTCCGGATCAGGATGCATGATGGTGTAGTGAGGGAATTGAAGGAAGTGAGGTTCGTGCCGCAGTTGACGAAGAACATCATTTCTCTTGGGACTTTGGAGGCAGCAGGATATCGAGTGATCTTAGAGGATGCTACAGTGAAGGTCACGAAGGGTTCTATGGTGGTGATGCGAGGTGTCAGGGAAAACTACCTATACTACTTGAAGGGCAAGACAGTTACAGGGGGTCTGGCAGCTTCTATCACTACAGAGGAGGACACTACCACCTTATGGCACATGAGACTTGGACACACAGGAGATAAGTCCCTACAGTCATTGGCTAAACAGGGGCTATTGAAAGGTGCTAAGACCTGCAAGATGGAATTGTGTGAGCATTGTGTACTTGGGAAGAAGACTAGAGTGAAGTTCGGCACCGCTGTTCATAACACCCAAGGTACATTGGATTATATTCACACGGACGTTTGGGGTCCTTCCAAGAACACATCTCTTGGTGGGGCCAACTATTTTGTCACTTTCATTGATGATTATTCCAGGAGGAATTGGGTATACCCGATGAAGCATAAACATCAGGTCCTGGATATTTTTGTGGAGTGGAAAAAGAAAGTGGAGCTGCAGACAGGTAGAAAGGTGAAGACTCTACGTTCAGATAACGGTGGAGAGTACAAGAGTGATCCGTTTCTGCAGTTTTGCCGGGATCACGGCATTAGAAGACACTTCACAGTTCGAGAGACACCGCAACAGAACGGGGTGGCTGAGAGATTGAACCGTACCTTGCTGGAGAAGGTGCGGTGTATGATGACGCAGAGTGGATTGCCTAGATCTTTTTGGGCCGAGGCGTTGGTTTATGCGAGCCATCTTGTGAACAGGTTGCCGTGCACTGCGATAGACGGGAAGACTCCTTTGGAGCGTTGGTTTGGTTCGGTGGCTAGTGACTATGAGTCGCTTCGGATATTCGGGTGTCCAGCTTATTATCATGTCAGTGATGGCAAATTAAATCCGAGAGCGAGGAAAGCAGTCTTTGTGGGATTTAGGGATGGAGTCAAAGGCTTCAAGTTATGGGATCCACAGGACAAGAAGATAGTTATTAGCAGAGATGTCACATTTGACGAGGCGTACATGATGAGGCCTCGAGCCCCTCAGCAGGTGGAGGGAGACCAGACAGGAGAGATATCGCAGCAGGTGGAGGATGATGTGACTCCACCCACTCCAGAGAACACTGTATCCATTGAGGCTCCTACAGAGGTGACACTGGGAGGAGATGAGATGATAGCCGGGCAGACCGAGGGTACAGTGGATCATGGGACTCAGGAACAGGGTCATG